CCCGGCCTCATCACCTCCTCCTTGGCCATAAGGCAGAGGCCCCCGCGAGCTGGCTCCAGTCGGACCCAGCACTGCGTGCCAAGCCCAGGCATCGGGGCCCCCTGACTCCAGGGAGTCCAGCTTTGTCTAACAGGATTTCCTCCTGACTTAGGTCTAGAAGCTGCACATACTAACGACTGACTGACTTCCACACGGGAGAACCTCCCAGGTCACAGTCTGATCGATCCGCAGGTAGGAACAGTGATGGCCACCTTAGCAAACTCCCTCCACTTTTATTTCACTTCACGTGTGTCTGCAGGCTTTGTTTGTCATGTATTGATTGATGTCAATAAATCATGGAGACAGAGTCTCACTCTGTCACCAGGCTGGAGTGCAGTGGCGCCATCTCGGCTCTCTGCAGCCTCCACCTCTCGGGTTCAAGCGATTCTCCTGCCTCAGCCTCCCGGGTAGCTGGGATTACAGGCACGCACCACCATGCCCGGTTCATTTTTGTATTTTTAGTAGAGACGGGGTTTCACCATATTGGCCAGGCCAGTCTCAAACTCCTGACCTCAAGTGAACCGCCTGCCTCAGTCTCTCAACGTGCTGCAATTATAGGCGTCAGCCACTGCACCTGGCCGGGAGTCACCTGTTGAAATCAGTCACTGGAGCATCCAGTCCCTACATCTTCCCACGGGAGAGGAATGGACTGGAGTGGACAAGTGTTACTGACAGTAAGAAAAGTAATCGGGGTCAGCGACACCGTTTACTAGCACCTGTGTTTCACATGAGGAAAGTCTGAGGCTGAATACCTGGTGGCCCGGCAGGGGAGAGGGGCAGGAGCCAAGCCTGTCTTCACTTCTCACCCCTTCGGCTTCCCCGTCAGGCCACTGGTCAGGCACTGATGTGCCCGACTTGACCGTCTCTGCTCCGGGGCTCAGTTTCACAGAGGACCCCACACAAATGGGGTGGGCTCAAGAGAGGACAAGCCCTTGCCCAGAGAAGTCACGGCCATGCCCACCTGTAGCCGGGACCAGAGTTCTCGTGCCTCTCGGTCAGCATAGTCCTTCTCGATGAGGTCCAGCTGCGCCTGGAGCCGGTGCCGGGCGAAAAAGGTGGGCCAGTCATCCTGCCATTCATTCACCTGGCAACAGGGAAGAGGAGACTGCTGCAGCTGGGAGCCACGTGCTGCCTAAACCGTGGAGGGACCATTAAACACACCAGGGACGGCTAGTAAGCCAGCACAGGAGGTGAGACAGAAACACAGAACAACCCAGAAGAAGGCAGGTGAAGAGGGAGGAGGGAGCAAAGGGCGGATGAGACAAACCGCAAGGTGACAGGCTCAAACCTCAGCGTATGACTAAGCACATTCAACACGGATGTCAAAAATAAACACTCCAGGTAAATGACAGATTGGCAGGTGAGAAAAATAAAGCAAAAGCCAAGAACTCGTAAAAAATGCATCATATGTGAAAAAAATAGCTTAAAAGGGCGGAAAAGACACACCACGCTAACGCCAGTCAAAAGAAAGCTGGGGCGGCTGCATTAATACGAGACAAAGTAGATTTTGGAGCAAAGAAAATCGCCAAGTATAGTCATTTCACAAAGGGAGTCGACTGACGAGCATAATAACCCTAAATGCCTTCACCTCTAATATCACAGCTTCGAGGTACGTAAAACTGAGGACTGCAGGAGAAACAGATAAACCCCATATCCTGCTATGGACCGAATGGTGCCCCAGCCCATCCCTACGTGGAAGTCCTAACCTTTACTATTACAACTGTATTGGACGAAGGGCCTCTAGGAGGTAATGAGGGTTAAATAAAATCATGAGGGTGAGTTATTAATCCAGTAGGATTCCTGGCCTATAAGAAGAGAAATAGAAAAAGATTTTTCTCCCTGCACACAAATCTCAATAAATTGAATTTAAGCATGCAAAGTATAATGAAATTAAATCAGAAATCAATAGGAAATATCTCTGGAAATTCCTCAACTATTTGAAAGCTAAATAACACACTTCTAAAATCTGCATAAGGAAGACTTCTAAAGGGAAATTAGAAAGTGTTTTCAATTGAATGAAAGCAAAAACACAACTTATAATTTGTGAGATGCCACTGAAGCAGTACTTAAGGGGAAGAGTGCAGCGCTAAAGGTCTGTGAGCAAAGGTCTCAAATCGGCCGGGCGCGGTGGCTCAAGCCTGTAATCCCAGCACTTTGGGAGGCCAAGGCGGGTGGATCACGAGGTCAACAGATCGAGACCATCCTGGTCAACATGGTGAAACCCCGTCTCTACTAAAAATACAAAAAATTAGCTGGGCATGGTGGCGCGTGCCTGTAATCCCAGCTACTCAGGAGGCTGAGGCAGGAGAATTGCCTGAACCCAGGAGGCGGAGGTTGCGGTGAGCCGAGATCGCGCCATTGCACTCCCACCTGGGTAAAAAAAGGGAAAACCCCTTCCAAAAAAAAAAAAAAAAAAAGGTCTCAAATCATGACCTCAGCTTCTACCCTAACCAGCCAGAAAAAGAAGAGCACGTTAAACTTAATGTGAGCAGAAAAAATGAAATAATAAAGATCTTATCTAAAATCAGTGAAACAGAAGTTAGAAAAACGAGAAAATTAACGTGCAAAAAGTTGGTCCTTTGAGGCGCTCAGTAAAATTGATAAACACCTAGCTGGGCTGACTCGGAAAAAAGAAGGAAGATACATTACCAGTGTCAGGAATGAGAGAGGTGACGTCAATGCAGATTTTACAGATATTAAAAGGATAACAAGGGCCCGGCACAGTGGCTCACACCCGTGATCCCAGCACTCTGGGAGGCCAAGGCAGGCAGATTGCCTGAGGTCAGGAGTTCCAGACCAGCCTGGCCGACATGATGAAAGCCTGTCTCTATAAAAAATATAAAAAATTAGCCGAGCGTGGTGGCACAAACCTGTAATCCCAGCTACTCAGGAGGCTGAGGCAGGAGAATCACTTGAACTCAAGAGGCAAAAGGTTGTAGTGAGCCAGATCTCACCACTGCACTCCAGCCTAGACAATAGAGCCAGACTGTCTCAAAGAAAAAACACACAAAAATCAGCCAGGCGTAGTGGCAGGCGCCTGTAGTCCCAGCTACTCAGGAGGCTGAGACAGGAGAATCGCTTGAACCCGGGAGGCAGAGGCTGCAGTGAGCCGAGATCACACCACTGCACTCCAGCCTGCTCAACAGAGCGAAACTGCATTTCAAAAAAAAAATAACAACAAGGATTTTTTTTTTTTTTTTTGAGACTGAGTTTTGTTCTTGTTGCCCAGACTCAGGCTGGAGTGCAGTGGTGCGGTCTCAGCTCACTGCAGCCTCCCACCTCCCAGGTTCAAGTGTTTCTCCTGCCTGAGCCTCCCCAGTAGCTGGGACTACAGGCGTCTGCCACCCCACCTGACTAATTTTTTGTATCTTTAGTAGAGACAGGGTTTCACCTGCTGAATTACAGGCGTGAGCCACTGCACCAGGCCAAGTTTGGTGGTTTCTTAAAGAGTTAAGTATGAATCCACCATATGACACAGTCGTTCCCACCCTAAGTATTTAGCTAAGATAAGCGGAAGCATTTGTCCAAAGATCTGCACACAAAGATTCACAGCGGCTTTATTTGTATAACCAAAAGCTGGAAATGACCTGGAAGTCCATCCACATGTGGATGGATAAACAGGCGTGTAATACCCATACAGTGGGGTGGCCTTTTGACACATGCACCATGGATGTCTGTCAAGGATGAACATCCAAGGATTTCAGACATGGGTAAACGTCAGAATGATTACGCAGAGTGAAAGCCGCCAGACGAAAAGACTGCCTGCCAGCCATACGATTCTCTTTATGTTAAATTCCACAAGATGCAAACTAATCCACAGTGACAGCAGGCGAGTGGCTGCCCAGGCGCAGGGTCATCAGTATACTCACCTTGACTGTGGCAAGAGGTTCACAGGTACAAACATGTCAAAGTGCACCAAATTATGTGTTTTAAATGGGTGCAACTTACGTCAATTACACCTCAAAATAGAGAAAAATGCAAAGCTTATTTTGTACAAAGGGTTGTTTTGTAAAACTCCTCAGGGGAGTTTTACATGGAGGACCACCCTGGTCGAGGGTCCGCACCATCAGGCTCTCCCTGCACGTAGGTGCTGTGGTGACTCTGCCTGGGGCTCACCCCCAGGTGCTGTGTGCACCTCCCCACAGCCCGGCTGTCAGGCCCCAGCTCAGATGGGCACCCTGCCGCCTCCCATCATTTCCCATGTGTCTGCCCAAGCTCCCGGCGTCTGAGCTCTGTCCTCTCTTGGAAAGACACCCAGGGCTAGTGCTGGGAGCAGGGGACCAGCATGGGCCAGCCCATGAACAGCCCGCAACCTGAACAGAGGGGCTGTGATCCAGCGACCCAGGAAAAGTGCCATCAGGGTGCACAGCTGGTCCCTGTGGCCACGCCTCCCCTTGACAGAGGGGCAGGCAGGGCTGTGTCACGGTCAGGCCTGTGCTCTGGAGCCAGACTGAGAACCAAAGCCCAGCTGCCCCATGACGAGCTCCACGGTCCCGGGAGTGTCACCCTGCACAGCAGTTTCCTCATCTATAACACGGATCAATGACACCGCCTGCCTGGTTACCTGCTAGGGCTAGGGGGTGAGTTGAGTCCGATGAAGCACTTAGAGCACTGCCTGGTATGTGTCAGCGTACGGAGCAGGCGGCCATCAGTGCAGCCGGCCCAGCTGGTGGTCCCAGCGGGCCTCGGTGCCTCCGGTGTCTGAGGAGCCCACTGTTCAGCATTGCCCCCAAATGGAGGCAGCACACGCACCCCAGGACCCATTCAGCCCTCCTGAGAAGTGGGAAGCCTCCAGAACCTGGTGCTGTCCAAGGCACGAGGGGCAGGACACAGGGCAGGTGTCCTCCCTAGCCCCTCACCCTTCCTAGCCAGGCGGCAGCTGATCTGAGGTGGCTCATTGATCCTGGAGTCCACAGGGGCGTTGAGGGGCTACCTGTGCTCCAAACAGCAGCCGCCTTCTCATCTGCTTCACACACAGAGGCTCTGGGTAAGATTTTACTTCATTTCTTTGAAACACCACTCTGCTGGGCCAGCCAAGTCCCACAGACCCCACACTTGCAGCCCTTGACCTCAGCATCCACAGCTCACCTGGCGATGAAGGCAGTGCTGCTCACTGACTCTAGGCAGCTGTGTGACCCCAGGGGAACCCACTGTGGCTGAGATCTTGGGGGTCTTGGTAAATCTGGTAGACTGCATGTGCAGTTCTAGCGAGCCCAGATATGAGGACTGCCTGTTGGCTGGGAACCCTAAATCTGCTTGGGCGTCATGAGGATCTTGCACCAAGTGGCCTCCAGCTGGGAGAATCTCCCTCCACCCACACCAGGGAGAGCTTGGTCATTATCCCCAGGGACCCAACTAGTCAGGACAGGCTTCGATGAGGACACAGATTTGAAAGCATCCTCTCTTCAGGAAGCAGTAACTTTAAACCGGACTAGGTCTTATGTAATGGGCACTGTGTCCCTAATGAAACCAAAATATGGTCCCATAATGGCTTCTTTGAGGGAAGCATAGGGCAGGGGGGCTGTCCAAAGCCTTCTCTGGAATTTCACAGGTTTCAGAGATGATGGTTCAAGAGGCCTCGATATTTATTCAGCCATAAAAAGGAATACATAAGCAAAAATGTGGCCTAGCCATACAATGGAATATTATTCAGCCATAAGAGAATAGCATTCTAATACCTGCTACAACACGGAAGAACCTTGAAACACGATGCTTAGTGAAAGAAGCCAGGCACAAGAGGTCACATATTATGTGATTCCACTCATATGAAATGTCCAGAGTAGGTCAATTCGAAGAGAGAGAAGGACATTAGTGGTTGCCAGGGAAGGGGGACATAGGGGGTAACTGCTAATGGGTTCTGCTTTAGGATAATGAAGATGTTCTGGAATTAAACAGCGGTGATGGTTGCACACCCTTGTGAATGTACTGAAACCAATTAATTCTACCCTTTAAAATGGTGGCTCTTATGTGAATTAGATCTCAATTGTATCTAAATAAATAATTTGTAAAGGCCTCAGGGAGGAGCTGAGTAATCAGGACTTAACCCCTGACTTTGCACACTAGCTATCAGCCACTGTCTCCCGTCCCTCATACTCATCAGCAGCCTTGTGCAACACAGCCTTTGCACTCGAGGCTGCCTCTGCTTGGAATGCCAATCTGCCTGCCTCAGCTCAGCCCAGTGACCCTCAGCATCTGCCGTGAGCCTGCCCAGCTCAGCTCAGTGACCCTCAGCATCTGCCGTGAGCCTGCCCAGCTCAGCTCAGTGACCCTGCCCAGCTCAGCTCAGTGACCCTCAGCGTGTCCTGTGAACCTGCCCAGCTCAGCTCAGTGACCTTCAGCATCTGCTCTCCCCATTCCAGGTATCACACCTTGTACCCTGCTTTCAGAAATCAGGTAGTCAATCTTACTGGTGCCTAGGGGACTGCACTCTGTCACATATAAAGCATGGGTGACCAGCATTAGAGCATCAGGGAACATGCTTACCCAGGCACTCACCTGTGGGATGAAGCCGCAGCATGTCACCGTGTGGAAGCCGAACTTGGTCACATACTGAGGCTCAGCACCCTCACTTCTTCGGCCTGTTGACAGAGATCCTTGCCCTGAAGGAGCCGTTTGTCTTTCTCTTAAATACCAGACCTCAGCATAGCATCAGTACAAGCCTGGGCTGCACATGCTACAATATGGGTGGTCTGAGGATGTACTACATACAATAGCAATTAATCAACATATGGATCTGCCAGCACACTCCTACCTCAAGCACACTGGACAGCAAGGCTGGGTATAAAAGGGGTGGTTATTACCTCAAGCACACCAGACAGGAGGGCTGGGTATAAAAGGGGTCATGTGCCAGTTCTACTAGCTTATCAGTTCCATCAAAATTCTTATTTAATAATCTCATTTTCATACTGTAGTGTAAAGGGAGATGGTATACAACTCAGCCTATTATTGAAATGCCACCAAGAAGTACCATGAGCACCAATCTAGGATAGACAATGTGGCTGGGTCAAGGGTATCCAAAAGCAATCTGAACATACCCACTGTGTTCTCCTCCTTCTTCAACTTCTCCCTGAGCTTCTGGTTGTAAAGGTGCAAATCTGCCATCTGGTCTCCAAGTTTTGATGCTTGACTGAGAAAAGAAGAAATGCAGCTAATTAAAATAACAAATGAAAAATAACATCACCCAGTTTGTTCCATTTTGAGAAATGTTTTAAATACATTAAAAACTACTCTCCACTCTTGGTCAGGCACAGTGGCTCACACCTATAATCCTAGCACTTTCGGAGGCCAAGGCAGGCAGATCACAAGGTCAGGAGATCAAGACCATCCTGGCCAACATGGTGAAACCCCGTTTCTAGTAAACATACAAAAATTAGCTGGGTGTGGTGGCACACACCTGTAATCCCAGCTACTCAGGAGGCTGAGGCAGGAGAATTGCTTGAACCCAGGAGGCAGAGGTTGCAGTGAGCCAACATCACAGCATTTCACTCCAGCCTGGGCAACAGAGCAAGACTATGTCTCTGAAAAAACATAAGATAAAAATAAAGTACAAAGCAAATGGCAGGTTCAAATATACTTATTTTGGCCAGGTGTGGTGGCTCATGCCTGTATTACCAGCACTTTGGAAGCCCAAGGTGCGTGGATCCCTTGAGGTCAGGAGTTTGAGACCAACCTGGCCAACATGGTGAAACCCCATCTCTACTACAAATATAAAAATCAGCCAGGTGTGGTGGCAGTCACCTGTAATCCCAGCTACTCAGGAAGCTGAGGTGGGAGAATCACTTGAACCCTGGAGGCAGAGGTTGCAGTGAGCCGAGATTGTGCCACTGCACTCTAGCCTGGGCAACAGAGTGAGACTGTGTTTCAAAAAAAAAAAAAAAAAAAAACTTATTTTATGCAGCCTCATTACAGCCAAACTAATCTAAAAAACAGTCACATACCAGAAAGCAGAACTTTTTATCTGCATTGAGAATGGCAGGGTGGAACTCCCAGCCCTGCCTCTGATAACTGGGCAGTTGTATGGACCGCTCAGCCAGAGGCTGCTCCCTGATTCTCTGTCTCCCTCCCTCTCTCGGTCCCTCTCTCTGTCTCTCTGTCTCTCTCTGCCTATACACATGTGTGCATATGGGTCCCTCACACACACTCACCTGCTCAAGCTCCTCATCTTCAAATGCTCCATCACAAAGGCGGCCCCACCTCCCGGCAAGTCGATGACCTTCATGGGCCTGGGCACTCGCACCAGGCCCGTGCTCCGGAGGGCCTCCAGGCTCGCCACCTCCCCCTCAAACATCTGCCGGGCCTGCATCCAGAACAGCCACGAGCCTCATCAGCCTTGTTGACTCAGCCAGGGCCTCTGCTCACTGGGCCCTTGATGGAAGCCACCACGTGGGAACCACAAGGACCATCAGTCTCTGATACCAGCTGGGAGCTGGTATCCACCGCGGACGGCAGAGTGCAGAGGGGCCCCCGTTGGGGAGGAGAGGCTGCAAGGCTGAGCCTGAGTCTGGGGTCTGAGGGGTGTGGGGTTTGCCGGCTGCTGTGAGGGGAGGAAGCACAGGCCACGGGGGGCTGCCACGGAGCGCTGGGGGCGTGGGGAGGTGTGAGTTAACTCAGGGTCCAGAGCTGGACCCCCGGGTCACCCAGCTTCCTTGCTGCCTCCTAGGGTGTGGCAGCCATAGCAGAGCTGTGGAGCTGACCTGGGCACACACTTCAGGCAGGGATGAAGGGGGCTGGGCCCGACCTCCGATCGACACGCACCCAGCAGGGGCTGGGAAGCTAACAGGTGCCGCACCCCCCGCCCACCCCCAGCACCTCCCGTGAGACCCGGGCCTCCCTATTTCTGAAGTATGCGCACTAACATCCCAACTCTGAGTTAGGTGAAGTCCCGCCTTATTGCACTACACATTGGTGGAAATGCATTGATCAGTGTGGTCTGTGAATACCTCGGCCTCTAGAATTGCATATTTGTTTGTTTTGAGACGGAGTCTCACTCTGTTACCCAGGCTGCGGTGCAATGTCATGATCTCGGCTCACTACAGCCTCCACCTCCTGAGTTCAAATGATTCTCCTGCCTCAGTCCCCCGAGTATCTGGAACTACAGGCGCCTGCCACCACAACCCGCTGTTTTTTTGTATTTTTACTAGAGATGGGGTTTCACCATGTTGGCCAGGCTGTCTAGAACTCCTGACCTCATGTGATCTGCCTGCCTCGGCCTCCCAAAGTGTAGGATTGCATGTTTTAAAACATCAAACCTCATGAATGAGACCAAAGCATCTACTGTCACCCAGGAAAAGAACACCCTTGACTTCAAAGTACCCCAGGGGAAGCCAGGTACAGCCTCCCCAGCCTGGGAGCCGGTGCCAGCCTGACCCTCGGGTGGGTGTGAGCATCTACAGCTGGGAGGGCAGCGGCACACCCCAGCCCTGCCCCCAGGGCAAGCCCCACGTGACCAGGCAGAGGACTCCTGGGCTTCGGGCTGCTAAGCCCCAGGGACCCCAGCGTCTCCTGCGCTCATGCATGGACTGAGCACCTACTGTGTGCAGGGCCTTCGCGGGGCGGGAGGAAAGGCGGGGTCTCACCCTCCAGAGCTTTCAGGACCAGCTGAGGAAGTTTCCCAGGCCCCGTAGGAAGCCTGAACCAAAAACTGCTTCCCAGTGAGTGGGACTCCTCACCCTGAGGGATTCGGGTCCTGAACCAGCAGAGCAGGCAATGCAGGAGGATCTGATCCCATGCCCAGGCTGCCTGGCTCTGGGGTTCCTCCTGCCAGCGCTCCCCACCGGGACCCCCGCAGCCCCTCAGAGGCTCCCCCACCAGAGCGGCAGAGCCTCCTGAGCCCACTCGGGCCGGGAGGGTGCCCAGGCCTGCCTTTCCCCACCTGCCTGCTCTCAAGGCTTAAGCTAACTTTCTCCACCTGTGCTAACATTTTCCATACATTCTTTTTTTTTTTTTTTTGAGACAACCTCCGCCTCCTGGGTTCAAGCAATTCTTCTGCCTCAGCCTCGGAGTAACTGGGACTACAGGCGTGTGCCACCATGCCCGGCTAATTTTTATATTTTTAGTAGAGACAGGGTTTCACCACGTTGGCCAGGCTGGTCTTGAACTCCAGACCTCGTGATCCGCCTGCCTCGGCCTCCCACAGTGCTGGGATGACAGGTGTGAGCCACCGAGCCTGGCCCATACATTCTTAAACAGAAATATTTTCAGCAGGAGATAGAAACCGGGGCTAAACACAGGCAAGGCCTGTGCGAAGGAGAACGCTAGCCTGGCCCGCGGGGTCCCTCGCAGGGTCCAGCCACGTCCCTGCTTTGTCCCCACTGCCAGGAGGGCCGTGGGCTGAGAGGGGCGGCCCAGAGCTGGGCCCGGGACCCCGAGCCTCACCTCCCTGCATGCTTGATGGATAGAAAAATTAAAGCCACCCCCAGAAGCCTGTGCGCCGCGCATGGAGGCCAAGGGAAGGCAACGGCGGTGCCGAAAGCTTCGGAGGACGCTGGAGCCGCGCTCCCCGCAGGGGCCAGACCGCAGCGCCGAAGCTGACCCCACCAGGCCCAGCCCGGGGAAATGCGCCCGCCCGGCCCCTCCGCCTCCCCAGGCGGCGCAGAGCCCCGCGAGCCCACGGGCCGGCACCTGCGTCCTGCGGTTGACTTTGACGAACACGGGGCCCGCGTCCGTGTCGTAGGCTCGGCCCTCGCTGATGCAGCCGCCGCCGGGGCTGCCGAAGGCCCGCAGGGTCGCGGTGCGCAGCTCGGCGCGCAGCAGCTGCTCCATGGGCCGGGGCTCGGGACTCGCCGCGGGGAAGCGCTGGCCCAGGCGCGGCGGGGCGGGGCGGGGCGGGCACCGCGCGGCGCGTGACCCCGGGCGGCGGAGGGAGGGGCGGACCCGGGCGGGCTCCGCGCGCTCCCCGCGTCGGTCCTGCTCCTGCTCGCGCCCGCGCCCGGCGCCCCCTCGGCCCTGCGCCCGGGATGCGGGGAAAGGAGCCGCGGGTCCGCGCCGCTCCGCGGGCGCTGGCACTGAGCTCCCTGCGGGGACCCAGAACGCATCCCGCGCGGGTCCGTCCCTCGCCCGGGCGCGGGTCACAGGCCTGGCGGGCTTCCCACGCTGCAGGCAGGCCGGGCCCAGCGGCCGGTGAGGACGACGTGGGGTTTGCGCACTGGGTTGGGGGGGCAGGCCCCCGTCGGAGGGACGGCCGGCGCGGGGGCTCTGATGGCGCGCGCTGCCCCGGCCCCGGGTGGGGCCCCTGGCTCCAGGACATCCTGGGAGAGGCGTTCAGACACGGGAAGCACACCGGAGCCCAGTCCATGCTGCGGTCATTTGACATGAGGTTTTGTTTTGTTTTGAAGAGATGGGGTCTCGTCCTGTCGCCCAGGCTGGAGTGCAGAGGCGCCATCTCCAGTCACTGAAACCTGCGCCTCCCGGGTTCAAGTGATTCTCCTGCCTCAGCCTCCTGAGAAGCTCGGATTACAGGCGCCCGCCACGCCCAGCTACATTCTGTAGTTTTAGGAGAGATGGGTTTCCCCATGTCGCTCAGGCTGGACTCGAACTCCTGACCTCAGGTGATCTGCCTCCCTCAGCCTCCCACACTGCTGGGATTACAGGTGTGAGCCACTGCACCCCACCTGAAGTGTTTCGGGACCAGGTCATGGGGGCCCCTTCCAGGACCCCCCTCCACTCCCTCATGGACCCATGAAACCCTCCCCCACTCTCTGCTGGTTTTTAATTGAGCCCATGGAAAGCTCACTTTACAAAATAAGAAAGGGCCCAGGAAGAGAGATTTGGGAGTAATGCCATTTATTGAGCTTTTGCTGTGTGCTAGGACCCAAGTTAAATGTCAGCTAAGCCTCACAACCATCCTGCGAAGGGGCCGTCACTACCCCCCGCCTTCCAGATGAGGAAACTGAGGCACAGGGAGATTAACTTGCCGAGGTGCCCAGGGTCCCAGCACTGGGAGGTGGCAGGGGGATCTCAAGTGTCTTCCTGACATCAGCCCCACCTTCTACACCCATGAGTCTCCCGGGGAAGCTGTCCAGCAGGAAGTCCCCAGAAGTCCCGGGACAAGGCTGCTGTAGGGCTGTAGGGCCCCACAGGCTTGTGGGGTGTCTCTTATGCTGTGCTGAGGTGCAGGATCTGAGAAGTAAAGAGACAGGACACTGAAGAGCATCTGGACTCGGGGGGCCACACAACCTGTGAGCGGAGATCAGCAAGCGCCCCAAATGCCCAGGAGCATCTGTATTTATTATGTACAAGCAGGGGGCAGGGTTGTGAGTGAGGTCATCCTCTACAGGCTTAGTGACAGGGCATAATCACGTGAGTCACAAGCGAGGGGCCACCCCATTATATCACAGGCAGAGAGGTGGGCCGTGCACAGTAGTAGAGGGCCGTGTACAGAAAAGGGGTCCACCCCCATTAAGTCACCGAGGCAAGGAGGTGGGCTGTGTGCAACAGGCGTCGTGTGCAACACTTCTTATCTGGGGGCTGGAGACTTCAAAGGGTTTCTAATAGAAGGACACTGTAAGCCAGTGCAGTGGGAGCTGAAGGCTTGTGCTCTTAAGATATTTATGGGGGCCGGGTGTGGTGGCTCACACCTGTAATCCAAGCACTTTGGAGGCCAAGGCGGGCGGATCACCTGAGGTTGGGAGTTCAAAACCAGCCTGACCAACATGGTGAAACCCCGTCTTTATATATATTTTATATATATATATTTTATATATATATATATATAATATATATTTTATGTATATAATTATATATGTGTATTATATATATTTTATATATATATATATATAAATGATATTTATGGGAGGATGATTTGAGCTAGCACGGAAGTGAGATAAGACTGACAGGGTGGACAGCCACCGTGACTGGTCACACCAGAGGGGTTCCTCTCCCTAGGTTATTTCCAGGATCTCAGCCTGAGGCCGACTTTCCACAGGAACTGGATGCGAGGTGCTACAGCTCCTCTATCAGGAGGAGAGGCTCCTGCTCCAAGCCTGCCATACAGCGTATGCCCTTTCAGGCAGGGACGCCACCGCCGGGGTCTCTGGTTCTCGTCCTGGTCTGGCTGTTTTCCCATGTACTGCTTCTGTTCTGTGACTGCTCTGGGCATTCCTCCTTCTACAGACTACTACATGGTTATATGGAAGGATTCTATAAATCAGCACTGAATGTGTCAGTACAGCTCTGACTACAATACCTAGATGATTATATAGAAAGATTATACAGAACTAAGTATGCTAGATATAAGTATTAGGTATGATTATATAAGCTAGGTATACGTAAGCAGTAAGTTATACTTCAGGCACTAATTCTATAAACTAATATGTGATGATATATGCAGGATTATATAAAGGAAACAGCTGAGTAATAACACTATAAAAGGTATTCTTCAGGCACTAAGTGTGCCTGGGGTCTGGACAGTTCTTCCTCGGTGCCCATGGCGGTTGCTACCCACAGGCTGGGACCCTGCATTCCCAGGATGCGTTCCACAAGCAGGCGTCCACTTAGGTGGGGACATCTCTGCTAAGAGGTAGGCAGCCTCTGGGAAGATAAAGCCTACAGCATTTTGATAAGACCAGCAGCTGCGTGAGGTTTATTGATTTATTTATTTTTTGTGACAGTCTCTGTCACCCAGGCTGGAGTGCAGCGGCACCATCTCGGCTCACTGCAACCTCCGCCTCCTGAGTTCAAGTGATTCTCCTGCCTCAGCCTCCCGAGTAGCTGGGACCACAGGCACCCGCCACCACGCCCCGCTAATTTTTGTAATTTTAGTAGATGGGGTTTCACCATGTTGGCCAGGCTGGTCTGGAACTCCTGACCTCAGGTGATCCATCTGCCTTGGCCTCCCAAAGTGTGGGACCACAGGCATGAGCCATGGCACCCAGCCGTGTGTGGGGTTTTTGTTTTTTATTTTTTTGTTTGTTTGTTTTGTTTTGTTTTTGTTTTTTTGTTTTTTTTGGTTTTTTTTTTT